GCACCATGTACAGGGTCTGGTTGGGAGTATAACTAGTGTCCCATGAGCTCCTCATGTGACTAAAGGTGAAATTGCCTTAGGCGACAGGATTTTATTTCTTTTCTCTGGGCATTGATGGCTTCAGATGTTTGCAAGTACATATGAGCGTGGAGCTGATGACAATCAAAGGTTTTACACAATTCATTTATTTCTCCGTAATACTTAAGGATTAAATGCTACAAGGGCCATTGTACAAATAAGGCATTTAAGACACATACTAGCTAAGAGCCCTCTCCAAATACTCTCAGCTGGTGGTTGGTGGGGCTGGGAGTGGTCAAACCTTCAAAGCTGGCATTCTGGAGACCAGGGTTCTGATTCTCTGGTCTTGCTACTTAACTAAAGCTGGATCATTGACGGTCTCTTGCCTTTCTCTCTCCTCCTTCATCTCCCTGTGACATTTAAATACCCCAAAGACAGAATTTTTTTTGTTACATTAACTCTTTTGCAATAATGATAATAATGATGGTGGTTTCATATAGCTTTTCGAAAGCAGTGTTCTCCACCATAAATAATTTTTTCTCAGTCATTCAACTCAAATAAATGCCAGTGACCACCAAACCAGGTTTCCCTTGGTTAATGAGAAGTTGCCCCAGCACCTATACATTTTGTCACTGTTTTTCTGTTTATAGGGTGTTGGTTGATTGCCTGCATATGTTTTCTATTTTGTTGATCCACTACATTGAAACATTATTTTTTACGCAATTCAAGGCAAGTTCCAACTTTTGTTGTCTCAGTGTGTCAAGGACAGGATTTTGTTGAGATTTCATAGCTTTGTTTGTTTGTTTGTTGTTTACATTTTTTATTGACCCAGGGTCTCACGTAGCCTAGGCTGGTTTTAACTCACTACATAAAACTGGCTGGCCTTGAACTTCTGATCCTCCTGCCTCCACCTTCCAAGTGTTTGGATTACCATCATATACTAACACTCCCAGTTATAAGATTTTATAATTTTACACATTTTTTTGTATCTGTAAGTTTTTCTCTGTGTGTATATGGCATATCTATGAGTGTGCACATGTGTGTGTATGTGAGTGTGTGTGTGTATGTGTGTGTGTGTGTGTGTGTGCAGGTATGATTCCCTTGTAGTCATATGTGTAGGCCAGAGAATGATGGCAGGATGTCTTCCTCTATCACTTCTTCATCCTAATTTTTGAAGGAGGGTTTTCTACTGAGCCTGCCATTTCAGCCAGATTGGCCTGCTAGTGAGCTCCACAATACATGTGTCTCCGCCCCTCCGTGCTACAGTTACAGGAACACACTGGGACGTCCAGCTTTTACCCTGGTGCTGAAGATCTGAACTTGAGTCCTTGTCTTCACAAGGCAAACATTTTGCCCACTGAGCTCTCTCCTCTGCCCTCCACATGTACACTTTTTAAAAAAACAGGTAGTTAATTTCAGTGTATATCTAAGAATATATTAATTACATTTTCTTTGGACTGCTAATGACATGCATAAGACTTCATTATGCTAATAGTTATTCTTTTATGAGCTCACTTAGAGAGAATACATAACTGTTTTAAGGTAGCATCCCAGAGAAGTCAGGTCTCATCTTTGTTTTTCTAACCGCCTCCAAAAATTACAGCCAGATCTTCATTTACCAAGCAAGTATTTCATTTCGTTTTCAGTAAAATTGATTTCTTAACACAGATTTTTATATTGTCATTAATGATATACTACTCAACTTCATTTATTAAGGCTATATTGTATTCAATCTAAATCTTCTCTCCTTTAAAAAAGACAATAAAAGAGACTGGAGAGGTGGCTTAATATTTAAGATCACCAGGTATAATTCCTAGCACCCATATAGCATCTCACAACTGATTGCAATTTCAGTCTCACAGGATCTAATGTCCTCTTCTGGTCTCCATTGGCACCAGGCATGCGCATGGTGCACAGAAATGCATGCAGGCAAAACCCCCATACGTAGGAGGCCAATAGATGCAATTAAAAACATTAATGACAATATAGAGAACTTAAGGCTCTAAATGCAAATAGATCGGATGGACTGTGATGGGAATGCGTGAAGAGGCCATTGGCTCTTTCTAAGTCAGAAACTGTCTCGAGTTCCCACTAAGAAAATAGCCACAACCTTGAGTTCCCTTCAGCTTTGAAGCAGCAGTTCCTGCTTTTGATTCCTGGGATATTTTAAGGTTTTTCTACTGATCCAGTTATTCTTATTGTGTTGAGTTTCTTCTTACCTAAATTTTGGATTATTTGAATAGGAATTTTAGATTATTTTAGCCTTGCAGGAATCTGAGATTACTCTGATAGTCTGTAGAAAATAGTCTTCTGGAAAATGCATGTGCACATGTCCTATCAAATTAGCACAAAATTTTCACAAGTATTCTTAGTGTGTAGTTGGTGAGGGGAGCACATTGCATATCCTTATATTTTAAAAATACAAGTCAAGTGCGTCAATACTCTTTCTGTTGAATGTTATTTACAGAAAATAGTATTATGATTCAGAAATCACGCTGGGTGTCTGAGCCACTCTATTCTTTGAGGAGACAGTTATCTTTGCTTAATGTCTTTATTAGTGTTTCACAGCTACCCATAAACATTTCAAATCATTTCAGATTTCTTGGCATATAGTCATCTTCTTTCTTTTACCAAAACCTACGAGGTGTTGGTGACCTAACACATTTTATAAAAATATATTAAAGACCTTAAGTTTCTTTAGATCCAGATAGCATATGTCAAAATACAATTCTCAAAGCATTATGCATAGTTCTCATAAACATGGATACTGAACAAATGCCGAGATTTCATTTAGCTCAGCCAGCAAGTTGACAAAGCTGGCTCAAAATCTGCCTCTATAGCTTTAGCAAATCGGATGCATAAAGATACAGTTTTTGTGACAGCCCAAAGGGAGGCCAGTCATTCCTCTATCAATCTTTGATTTGTACAATCTATTTGAGCAGAACACTCCGTCTAGATATGTTTTCTAGTGGTAAAATGGATCTCTTTTGCCCCGCTAAGACCCATGGCTCTTCATCATGCACCAGATTCATCCAAACAACATGTTAAACAGATTGCGGCCTCCCCTGCAGCTTTCTGCAGCGCTGTGGCCTCAATGCTAACAGCCATCCACTGGTGCTGCTTGCTGTTCCTAACTCAGGAGGAAGTCCGGATGGCTTCTGATTGGATCTCATCACTTCTCCTATGCTATTTCCGTTTTCCTTCCTTGTCTCATCAGTATATACCAGGCCAGCCACCCACATGGCTTCCACTGCCAAGTCTTCCTTATATTCAGCGCATCTGCATTCTGTGGGCATTCCCTGTAATAGAAACTTTTTAAAAATTGTCAATAGCAGTTAAGGTCCCTGTGTCTTCCCGCGGAGAGCTGGTCATCCTTACTTGTGCCCTTTCTGTCAATGGAGCTCACTTTTACTCCAGCCAGTATTAGATGGCTCTGAGTCATGTGTTGTTGAAAACAATTAGCACCCCTCCCCAGGAATCATCAGTGAGCTCCTTGTCAGCGGGGAGCATCTTAACTTTTCCACATTTGGAAACAGGAGGAGTTAATCCTCCCTCTTCCACCTTCCAGGCCCCAGTGTGCTCTTCTGTCCTTGTAGTTTAATCTCCACCTGGATGACACCAACAGATGTCATCCTTGCTAATGGACTAGGGATAAACAAAGAACTCCAGGCAGTCAAAGAACACTGAGGGCCTAAAAATAGTCTACCCTGAGTATCAGCCCCCAGACTGGTTATCTACCACCTAATGATTGTCTCTGAAATTATATACCTACAAGTAACATGATGTGCTTGTTAGAAAAAGAGGCTAGAGGCCATGAATTTAAGAGAGAGCAGAGAGGGGAGTACATGGGAGAGGTTGGAGGGAGAAAAGAGAGAAGGGAAATGATGTTATTATCTTTTAATTTTGAAAAATAAAAAAAGTAAAGAAAGCAAGTCCTTCAATGACTCCGAGGAATTGCGAAGACCCAGAATATTAACTCAGATAGTGAGGGGGTATTCTTGGCACTCTCTGGGAAGATTCTGAAAGATTTATTTCTAGGGATGATCCAATGTATAGCTGGGAGTTGAAAGTGAGAGGGACAGGCTGCATGTTCCAGGAGTTTGGCAGGACATCAGAAGATGAAGTAGGATCAATTGAGGGACACTTGCCTTTAGAGAGAGGAAACCGGCGCAGAGAGAATGACTTGGGTTCAAGAGTAGCAGAGTGGAATTTTAATAATGTGCCAGAGAGGAAGTTTCTTGGGAAGATGGAGGTAACTACAAAATGTTGAATTTTGGAGAGGAAGTGTTTTCATCTCAAGCTAGAGGAAAGAATGCATTTATATGAGATGGCCTCTGGCTCAAGTAGGATTCAGTATTGGCTATCTTTGAAGTGAGAAGCCCAGAGAATACTCAGGTAGAGGTGCGCATTGCTAGTGGCTCAGTGGGGGATAGATGAGTTTCCAAAAGGACAGCCTGACACAGTGATTCTTTCCTTTCCTACATCCTGCAATCTTGGATGGGCAGGGCTGAAGACAGAGGCAGACTCAATACAGCATCAACTTGGATTCCTCTCTGTGTAGTACTTGCTCCCCAAGTCCCCTGTAGATCTCGCACTACCTATAAATGGCTTCTCTTGTCTCTTCCACATTCTGAGTCCTGTCTGACTGGTGGAGAAAGTTCAAACCTTTCCCATTTTATCTGTGTTCATCCTTTTACTGACATAGGGAAGGAAACGTAAGTCGCAGGTAGCTTCTCCACTTCACTAAGGGCAAGAAAGTAATGTACCTTCTCCAGTTGAAGTGAGCCTCTGCATAGGTCCTTTCTCAATATTGGATGCAACCATGGAATCTCTCCTGGAAGTTTGTGAGGGAGTTTGTTCTTTGCTGTGGCAGTGCCCCGAGAAAAGACTGCTCACTCCCAGTCTGTGACGAAGGAAGAGGAGGGAGGGCAGCCCTTTTGTCATTCAGCTGGAGCCATGAGAACCTGTGCTTCTCTTTCTAGGACCAAGAAACCTCCTTCCCCAGGGCGCTCTCAGCTCAGAGGCTATCCCCTAGGTGGTGCTTCCTAGATGGTGAGTGTTTGGGGACCTGCCTGGGACTGGGCTGGGGAGGCAGCAGGACAAGGTGTGACTGTCTCAGAAAGTTGGTTCCCAAAGCTTTGCTGTGATTGGCATTTACATTCCAATGATGTAGACTTGCTGATGTCCCTGGACCTTTCCTGAAGTCATTTCCCTCAAAGCACCTCAGCATCAACTTGTTTAAACTGACATTTTCCATGTTACCACTTTATCATTTTCCATTATCTTTTTTCTTATCCGTCTTGAGTGCCTACCCCAGATTAGTGTGGGCCAGAAACTACAGTCTGTAATCACAAAATGGGCACTCATTCCTGAATTATACCCACGCCTTGGAGTGTTCATATTAGTTTTATAAGGCTGCCACTTCTGTATAGTGCATGCATGTGTGGGAAGCTGGGAGTTTCACTTGCATCTGTTAACTTTTCTGCTGAATGTGACATGTTGCACACATAATGGGGTTAGTTACTGTGTGATTGTTTGATGAGTCCGCTTGCCATCTCGTGCATTTCCACTTCCCTAGATGTTGTGGAATTTCAATTTCCCACCTAATTATCTACGCTGCAATACATCTTCATCTATATACATTCTTGCTACCATTCACTGTAGCTAGCTGGCGTTTCTATTGTCTGCATGAGGATATAGTTATCTTGATGATGCCCTTTTGTTTACTAGTGTGTCCATTTGAGAGGATACTGGTGGGGGAGGGGGTTGAGGGTAAATGGATATGGATTAGTTGTAGAGAGGGGCACTTTGTATCTACCAAATCTAGCACACACCAATCAGGATATAGCTTTCATTCCCAATTCAGCTGACTGAAGACTTCCCTCCAATTCCTGTTAATCCCTAGCAGTGAGAAACACAATCATTTCTTACTCCCAAAGGCACAAGGAATTAGTATGTATCTAAGAAAATCAAGAAAATATTTACACAAGTCATTATGTTCCATATATATGCTTAGATAAAATTGTATTATGGTTTTAACTATGAAACTGATTTTGCTATATGAGATTTGTATTGTAAACCTCCATTGTTTTGAACATTTGTTTTTAATTTTTAAGTTAGCATACAAGATGATATGTTTATGTATTAAAAATCTTGTGACTAATTCTTGGTTGACACCAAGGCTGAAGTCATGGTTGAAAGAACAGAGAAGAAGAATAAATCCTGCTGGGACTAGATTGCATTAGACTTAAGTTTTGGTTTTGGGTTTTTTGTTTGTTTGTTTTTGTTTTTTGGTTTTGGGGTTTTTTTGGATTTTTTTTATTATTAAAAATTTCTGCCTCCTTCCTGCCTTCCTTTTTCCTCCCCCTCCCCCACTGCCCACTCCTCACTCCCCTCGATTTAGACTCTGTCTTCATAATGTCTGGCTGTGGGGCTCTGTACCCTCTCCCATCTGCTGCTGAAGGAAGCCAGAGAGTTATGTTTTTGAAATTTTGTGATTAAGAGTAAATATTTGCATCCTTTTCTTTGTTGTACTCTATACTTTTTTTTATTACATTTGGTCTGTTTTATAAAAACTCTCATATTTGGGCTTTCTTAGAAATACCTAGTTTTTTGCTTTTTTATTAAGAGGAATCAAATAACTTCAAAAACACCGTATGTTTTATTTACTTCAGAAGTTTTCTCTTTCAAATCACAGCTGCAGCCCAACCCCATTTCAAGATTGCTTAAACATTAATCTTTGTTTTGTCATTTGGCTTCCTTAAGGCATGTCTCTAGGGGCAGAGTATGGAAGGGAAATGGATTTTTTTGGGGGCCATATGTGGTCCCTGGCCTGCATCATCAAGATGTTTTCCAAAATGAGAGTCACATTCCTGGGACGTCTATCTAACTGTAATTTCTTTTCTAGGTTTATTTACTTAATAAAATATTAAGCTCTCTCCTCTGTTAAAGTCCTGTGCTTATTCCTAGAGACATAAGAGAATAAGAGAAAGAGAGCCCTTTAAAAATGCTGGGTTTCAGTCCCACAGTCCTCTTTGAAGACGGTCTCTGTGAAGGGTTTAAGCAAAATGACAGTGGATGTGGGGTTTAGGAGCAACAGACTTTCTGTTGTAGGCAGTTGGGATGGAGGAAAGTTTTGTTACGGGGAGCCCACCAGAGATGGCCACTTGGATACTGTTTGTAGCCAACTGAAAGGCTTTATTTCAGCCAGCTGGGACTACACTCGGGTACTCAGGATGTAACTGTGGCACTAAGTGTTCAGAGCACAGGGTTTTTGAAGGCCAAAAACCACATCTTGGCATCTCAATCAGCAGTTACAGGTAGGACTTTGTGTACGAAAGTAGTTTGACAGAAGCAAAGATAAGCAGTTAGTTGAAGAGGGGAGGGCTGTTCTGCTCAAGCAGGCAATTGAATAGTAGCTAAGTTAACTGGGGTATCTTGACATTGGGTCCCTAGAATGGGAGTGGGTAATTTTCCATGGGATTCTCCTTCACGGAGATCAAATTATAGTTAAGCCTGAAATGGCCTCAGCAAGAATTCAAGATGGAGGAACCTCTGCACTGCTTTCCCTGTCACAGTTTCAGAGACTGGACCTTTGAATTATTGTTTAAAGATAAGTGAACCGGGAGGTGGTGGCACACACATTTAATCCCAGCACTTGGGAGGCAGAGGCAGGTGGATCTCTGTGAGTTCGAGGTCATCTTGGTCTCCAGAGCGAGTTCCAGTACAGCTAGGAGGGCTGTTATACAGAGAAACTCTAACAGCGTGGCTGGAAGGGCTTAGGAGCGTCAATTGGAACGGCAGTGACCAAAGCATGGAAGTGATGGTTTTTAATCATTTTAGGGACTGGCCATGGATGTAACATGCTTGTTACAAAGGTTTAGATTGACTGTTCTGCAGGAAGGAAAGATGTAAATCTGATGACAAGTGTAAATGACTCTATATGTCCTGTGCATTTCTTTCCCTTAGCGACTTCTGCTGACCGCTTTTATCGAATAGACAGATCTCAGGTAAGTTCTTTCGAGCTTCGTTAGGAAAGTGAGCTGTCTCTCAGTCAGTGCACTGTACTGGTAGTCAGTCTCAGAGATTTTGCTAATGAAAATATTAAAGCGTTCCCAGATTGTAGGACAGTGTGGATAACAGTGCTTCTTGTCTGCATGTGTTTTGCAACTCATGGGCTCAATGAAATGGCCAATGAAAATAGATAATAACTTGAATTATAATTATTATCACACTCTAAGTTTTCATTTACATGGTACTTGTAATCCAGCCAAGGCAATGCTTACACTTTTTAGGTGCATTTTTGTTTAGCTGGTATATATGTAGACAATATAGATTTGGCTTACTAATACTCTCCCATATTTAATAATGAAGAAAAATTATGTTTACCCAAAGCTAAAAACTCTCCCCACTATTGATATTTTCCTAGAAAAATACTTACACAGTTTTGAACCCATTGAAAACCAGCTGTTTCTTAACCATGGCCACTTAGCTTTGGGGCAGAAGCCCAAGCTGTTGTGTGCTCATACTGGACCAGGTAGCCTGTCGGATGCCGCATCTTATTGCACCTGGCAAGAAGCAGGGGAAAGGTCTTTTCTCCTTCCATTTAACAGGATCCTGGTCAGATATGACTCCTTTACCAGGGCAGTCATCTCTCCCATTGTCCTCCATCTGCTACTTTATTAATTTAGGAAGCGATGGCAGATGCTCAAACTTCCGGTGAAACAGTGGACTTCTTTGGTGTGTTGCATGGTTCATTCCTTATTCTGAGGGTGGTGATGTCAACACCCTGACAGGCTTGGTTTTCTCCCTTAGGAACATTTGCACTTTGTGATGGAGATTTCTCATGATGAGATTTTTATTCTGGACCCAGATATGGTGGTGTCACAGCAGGCAGGGACCCCTCCAGGAATGCCTGACCTGGTGGTTGAACAGGCTTCAGGGTGAGTGTGTTTCTTCTCGCTCAGTGCCAGCATCCACTGGCTGTGGTATGGCTTCTATATCTCTTTTAACTTTGGAATTGATATTCTGATGCTATAAAAACATTTGGAATTCAGATTTATTGATGTTTCCTTAAAGTAAGATGCATCTAGTTTTGTAAGGCCATCTTCTGAATGGCTGTGTAGGAACCCTCATGCCCAGGGAGTCTCTTATCTTGTCTGAACCTTATTTACTATTACACAACCTCTCCCTCTTGGGGGCTAGAAATACTGAAACTCCCATCTGTGCATCTATATGGGTTTTATTTGGTGTGTTATCTAGATGACACATTGGCATAGGTGATTTAGTCCTGTTCCATTTGTCTTGCTTCTAAATTGCTCGACACAAAGAATCTAGATTATTCCTGTCACTCTTGTAATATTCCTCTTCCTTCATAGAGAATTAATTCTCTTAAGCTTTTCCCACATCTGTGAGTGGAAAAAAATACCACCTTGTCTTAGTCAAAAATCCTATTGTTGTGATGAAACACCATGACCAAAAAGCAAGTTGGGGAGGAAAGGGTTTATTTGGTTTACACTTCAGCATTGCTGTTCAACACTGAAGGAAGTCAGGCCAGGAACTCAAACAGGGCAGGATTCTGGCATCAGGAGCTGATGCAGAGGCCATGGAGGGGTGCTGCTTCCTGGCTTGCTCTCCATGGCTTGCTCAGCCTGCTTTCTTTTAGAAACCAGGACACCAGCCTAGGGATGGCACCATCCACCATGGGATGGACACTTCCCTATTGATCACTAATTGAAAAAGTACCGTACAGCTGGATCTCATGGAGGCATTTCCTCCACTGAGGCTCCTGCCTCTCTGATGACTCCAGCTTATTTAAAATTGACATAAAACCAGCCAGCACATCACCTACTCTGAGAACTAGTTGTAGAGTAAATGCATTGACATAGGCAAAAGGACTTTTGTCTCAGGGTAGACATTTCGTTACATAGTCTCATCATTTCATAATGACCCTGCCAATTGGGCTCTGTGATTGTCCTAAGTTTATAGAGAAGAAAATTGAGACTCAGAGTTAAGTCACTTGCCTAATCTTGCATATAAAATAAGTTTAAAACCTGAGATTTGGCCACATTCTTTTTGATGTAGATCCTCTATTTCATTTTAGCTAAAATAGATTTTATTTTTTTATTTTCCATGTGCTAAGATAACTTGTTCCATTTTATAGACATATTTTTCCTCAGTTTTTATTAATGTCAAAGTGATTAATGATTGTTTGCATATCATTTAAATAAGCAGCTACATTTCCCCCAAATTTAATTAACAGTAAAGGAAAATTATACATAAGACTGTACTAAAACACTCTTTGAAGGGCTGAAGAGGTGGCTCAGTAGGTAAGAACATGCACTGCTCTTGCAAAGGACTTGAGTACAGTTCCCAGCATTCACACCTTGTGTTTATGCTATTACATTCTAGCTTCAGGGAATCTGATGCCCTCTTCTGGGCATTGTGTGCACTTACACTCACATGTGTACATGCCCACACAGAAATACACACTATACACATAAATAAAAAATAACATAAATACTTAAAGAACTCTTGAGACTAAGTCAGAACTGAAAAGTTGTAGGAAAGTATAGCAAAAAACATTCCCACATAGCACAGAAGTTTCTGGAAACAATTGACAGCACAGTTATCATCGTTCAGAGTAAAATCTCAATGCCTGGTCTGTGGTGAGTTTACCAAAATGTCATCTTGTAAAATGTCTAAGTTATTTTAAAAATGTTTAGCAATTCAAAAACGCGTACTTGGAGTTGTTATACCAGATAGTATTGTGAACATGTGAGAGCCAATAGTGCAAAAATAAAAGCAGACAAATGTCTCTGTCCTTGTGAAGCTTCGCAGATAGCAGCTCATAGATATATGGGACTGACGGCCAAAATACAGGATGCCCAAGAAGGCACATACAGGCCCTCAAAGCAGACAGAGATTGTGTATCCATAACCACAGAGCAGAAGCTAATGTACTCACCAGAAAGAATCCAGTCTGATGATCCTGCTAAGAAGAGGCAGCTGCTGGTGTCTAGGGTCTGCCCCACATTATAAAGACTTCAACGTTTATTTGATGAGGAATGGAACCATCTGTTAAGGTGGCTTTGGACGGTTTCCTCTTATTCTTTCCATGCCAAGTAGGGACAGCTTTGTCCTGGGTTATAGTTTTGTTACTTAGATCCAAATACAGAGTGGCCTGATGACCCATTAGCCCTCAATCCATCCTTGATTTCTTCTTTCTCAGCAGCAGTGTCTTCTGGAAATAAACCAGAAACAAAGATGCTAAGAACAAGGTTGGGCTTTCTCATTTTCTAAGTTAATTTCTGTGCCTGGCTCCATTAATTCTTTACTCATGTCACATGTGTAGTACAATGACTTAATCTTCAAAATGAAATACCTCATCAATATGAAAAAGGACAAAATTATACTGATAGCTCGGAACTGTTGAGAAATGATGAGTATGAAGGATGTATCTAGTAAAAATGGATTTATAACACAATCGTTATGAGAAAAAAGTAGAGTAAGATATGCAATTACTTTCTGATACCATTTTTAACCCAGGCTGTCTGACTGGTGGAACCCTTCCCTGAGGAAACGCATGCTGAGTGACAGCGGGCTGGGGATGATCACACCCCACTATGAGGACTCAGATATGAAAGATCTCAGTCACTCCAGAGTACTACAGTGAGTCTCTTGCTATTTTATAATTATTGTTTTGAGATATAATGTAATTACATCATTTTCTCTTCACTCTCCCCCCTCCAAATCCTCCCATATACCTCCTTGTTCTTTTTCAAGTTCATGGCCTCTTTTTTCATAATTGTTGCTGTTGTTATTGGTGTGTGTGTGTGTGTGTGTGTGTGTGTGTGTGTGTAACCAGCTCAATTGAATAATGTTACTTGCATAAGAGCCACAGACTATCTAACTCAAACCTCCATGCTAGACTTGAGAAGCCTTCTCAATGTTGTTTGTTTGCCAGGGTTACTCTAAAACATGATAGACTATTGTTACTGCCCTTGGTTCTTTCTCAGAGGTGGAAACTAAGGTAAGTCCCCATTGCTAAAACACCATGCACTTCAGACAGAGGGCCCAGAGGCCACCAAACTGGATCTTGCTGTTTTCATTTATTTCACCGTGATTGCTGGATGAGGGAGGGGCTGAAACATGAGCTGTCTTCAGTAGTGATCAAGCTGTCTCATGTGTCTGTCACTCTTGGTGTGTCACTTTGCTTGGGGTTATCTGCAGGACAGGTCATGATGGATCTCCATCTTCTGTTGTCTTCCTAGGGAGCTACCTGGAGACTATGCCACTGTAAACATTTTAAGCTTCACTAGTGCGTTTATTACTGGAGACAAGAGTATGTCAGATCCCTTGCATACTCCACCCTAAAGTCACACATGAGAGTTTTGAAAAGTTAGGAAAGGACTCGCAGGCTTTTGCTATCTCAATTTCTGAATGTACACACATGTGCTTTGTGAAGTATTGTCCAGTAGGTTTCGCTTCTAGGACGGTGTGATAGTTTTGTCACCTTGACTTAATTTAGAATCTCAGTGTGGGATTGTCTAGACCAAGTTCATCTGTAAGTCTGCCTTTGAGAAATTTTCTTAATTATGTTAAGTGATGTGGGAAGAGCCTGTCTAACAGTGGGTGCCATTTCTTGACTAAGGGTCTTGGACATTGTTAAAGAGGAGCAAGTTAGCTGAACAGTCAGCATGCATGCATTCATCAACCTCGCTCTGTCATTGGGTGAGGCTGGGATGTGACAGCTGTTTCCGTGCCCTGCCTCCTTGACTTCCCCACAATGATGGACTTTCACCTGGAATTGGGAGCTACAGTTGATGATTTCTTCTCTAAGATGACAGAAAGGAAGCTGGGACAAGGCGGGTATTATTTTTGTGTGGATGTGGCATGTGTGGGTGAACAGACACAGCTCCTATGAATATGTCTGTATTGTAGGCGTCCTTTCTCTTTAGGTCCAATGACGGTTGGAAAGTAGCATGCATTTGGAGTTTTGGAGAGCGGCTGGTACTTCGTGCTAAGCGAATCCTCTTGTCTGCTCATAGTTTGCTGCCGGAACACATTCTAGGGTGTAGTCCGAGGTGATAGTCTGAGGTCATTCATTTGCACCCAGTTTTAACTTCAGGACAATCACTCCACCTCAGAGGTTGTGGAAGTACACAGTCGTTTACGAAACTGGGCTTTTTCCTTTTTTCAGTCCAGTCCAAGGTCCTAACCAAATAGTGAAATTGGCTTTCTAACATTCAATCTTACCTTTGCACAGAATAACAGGATTACTAAACTTCTTAGAAGTCTGCAGTTAAATGAAGAGCAAGGCACCGCATTGTTTCTAAAGAAAGACCGGAAGCAATTTCCCCCGGACAAAGGGAGAAAAATGAGAAATCTCAAGCTAATTATTTCATTGGCAAAGGTTCTACTTAGACACCCTGAGGGCAAAAGGAGACTTCATTTTAATTACTTCTCTGTATTACCTCTTATTTTCTTATGTGAAGAGGAGAAAGGGAAAAAAAAAGAATTGCTATGGATTTTCTCTTTTTAATTAAACTGTGTTGTTGGTTTCGGGTGGCATTTTGATTGCTTACAATTCAGAGTGTTTTTCCATTTCCTTTTTGTACAGTATTAGGGCTTGGGACCAGGGATGACTCAGCCATACATGAATGGCTAAATAAGTGGCCATCTATCTGTGGGCAGACTTATTGGAAAATTAGAGTTTTAATTATCTGCAGAAATAAACATTAAGCCTTGACAGAGCATCCGAGTGTTTCCATATGTATATGTGATTTCCAGAGAGTGGGCTGTTATATCAATCTAGTCCTCTATGGTTGGAGTTTTCTCTAGAGAGCATTCTGATGTACGCTTCATAATATTTTAAGTGATTGTCTCCAAATTAATGGTCATTGTTCTCAAGAACTGCAAATGCACGGAGCACATCCCATAACAGCCAGCGTCTTAAACCTGTACCGGAACAAGCTCTCAGTTTCTGTTTGAACCGTGTAGTTATCTCTGTCTCTGTGAACCACAGCAGATCCCGAAGGGCTTTATGGAAAGTGGTACAGTGTTTGCACATAATCCACTTTCCAGTTCAGTGCACTGCCTGACGTAAGGCTAACACTACAGAAGGAGTTGAGGTACTGTATTGTTTAGGGAAGAATAACGGGAGCCATACATGTTCTCTACAAACAATATATTTTGAAATACTCTTCATCTTTGCTTGGTTGAATTTATGGATCCCCTGGACACAGAACACTCACCGTAGGGTCTTTTTTATTAATTGATGTAGGAGGGCCCAGCACGTGGTAGGTAGTGCCATTCCTGGGCAGGTGATCTTGGACTGAAAGTTAGCTGAGCGTCTAAACCAGAGAGCAAGTCAGGAAGACAGTCAGAGAGCAACATCCTTCCGGATTTGTGCTTCAAGCCTCTGCTTAGCTTCCTGTCTTGACATCCCTTGATGATAAACTGTGACCTGGAAATATAAGTCTAATAAGCCTTTCCTCTCCAAGTTGCAGCATCTTGATAAGTGTGTTTTTCTGTGCTGTACTCTCTCTTCCNTTAATATTGCAAAGTTTCTTTGCAGTGGAAATATTTATGAATAAATACATGGAAAGAACATGAGAAATTATTGCAATGAGACTGGCATCTGTTATTCTAGCCCTAAGCCACAGACAATGTGGAGCCAAAATGGGTTTAATTTCAACATCTTGATGATACTAAACAACTGACTCCTGCAGAACAAATCAAAAGCCTTAAAGTCTTGGAACTGAAAATACTACTTATCAGAATTTTGACATCATAAATAGCATTCACCAAATGATTTATGACTCTAAATCATTTATTAATAAAAGGTATTTGTATACAAATATGCAAAGTATTTCATTTGATTGCAGAACCTCAATAAACAATAAAGACATAGGAAGAGAAACAATAAAGATAAAGACATAAATCAATAGCAAAAAGAATAAAACAAGATAAATGACTAACAATTACATTGATTCTCTGAGAACACAAATAAGAGAGGCCATATTCTGGAAAAAAATAATCTTCCCTCCAAGGGCTGGAAGAGAAAAGACTGGTACACAGTTTGCCCCAGCTCAGTCTTCCTCCTCAGCAGTCAGGTCACTGCAAAGCTCTTCCCACCCGAGCCCCCTTGGATCTTCTCAGTGTTTCCTCGCTGTTTGAACACACTTAGCTTCCTGGCTGCATCATTCTCCTTCCTTCTTCAAGAATGGCGAGAAGGAACTGTGAACACGAGGAACTCTCCTTTTGTCTCTGCTATGTCTTGTTGAGGTCATGCTGTTTCCACTTGGAATCATGAGGGTTCCTAGATAGGTATGTACGTGCCTACCCACATGCATTTACACACACATGCCTCCTCCAGGAGGGTCTGTGATTCCGAAGGATACACAACATGTATGTAACATATGTATGCTGTCTTCAAACCTGGCACAAAGTAAAGGGCAACCTTGAAGAACTGATTTTGATTTAAATTGGCAAGAGATGACTGACACGTTTTCCTGTCAGGATCCTAATGACTTTGCCTGAAGGTTTAACAGAATAGTTTCTATGTCTAAGAAAGTTTCCATAAAATGGCATGTGGGTAGAGTCATAGCCCAGTGGATAGACTGCATGTGTAGCACGTACAGAGTGCTGGGTTTGATAGCAGCACCTCATCAAAATGTGTCTTTGCACCCAGGGGCTGTGGTAGGAGAATCAGAAGAACGAGATCATCCTTAGCTACTTAGCGAGTTAGACAAACTGCATGAGACCTTGTTTTAAAATAGAGAAACATCCCTGTCCTCATCATCCATTGCTCAACGATCACCCTTAGTGAGACTGTATTTTGTTCAGATGGAAAACCAAAAAGATCCAGTTCACTTAAATTTAATCAAGCAGTCTATTTGAAGTGTTCATCACTGTGTCTGTGAGATAAGAAAGGAGATAGAAACTCTGGCGAGCTCTGAGCACTCTGAGAGCTGGGAAGACTGACATTTGAGTCAATTGAAAGTCAGCAGGCACAGGACCCAGAGACGGATCTAGTTTCCAAGTAATAATAACCATGCGGGTTTCAAGTGTTCGGCTTATGAGACTCCCCTAAATTGATGGAATGACGCACACCTATTTATTTATTTATCATAATTTTATTGTATTATGATAATATATTATTACCTCCAGATCCTAAGCCTGAAAGGTCCAAGATGGAGGAATATCACACAAGTAAGAAGGGTCTATTTTGGCCCTGGTCTAAGATACTGGGTGAGATTGTAGTGAGCTGCCCCAGAGCAGGCCAAAACCTGGCACTCATAAGAAGTGAAATTGAGTCATTAGGAAAACATGGAGATGCCTATATCTAAGCTTTTATCTGTTACCTCATCAGCTGATCAAGGCTGATGGATCTCTGCCATGGGCGGAATATTTCATCCTCAGGCAGGAGTCACAGTTAGCAAGCTTGAGCTACAGTGTGTGAAGTCTGATTGATGATTTTATTTTACTTCCAGGGAACAAATTGGACAGCTGAACCAATCACTATTGGGCACCTTCAGTAGCCATGATAGGTGCTGGAGATATAAGCTTAAGTAAGAAAAGCTTATATTTAATGGGGAAATCTTATAGAAACTATTGGTTATAATTCCTACTGATACATATCGTAGTGGATATGTTCAGAGAGAAAA